TTAAAAAATTTTGGCGACCCCCATGGCCATATTAAAACTATATCAGTGATTTTAAAAACTATGTATTTAATTTTCTTTCTGTTGAGACAGATTATTGTTGATTAAAATGAAAATTTTATAAGAATCGACAATAACTTAATACAGGTAAAGTATGAAACTTCCTTTAATCATAACATTGGGCACAGGTAGCCGTTGATCTTTTTTTTTTTTAGGATCAACATTTTCAGCTTCTACTTTTTATTTCTTTTTCAAAATTAGCTCAACACTTTTTCGGCTATCATTTTCCCTGGCTGCACCCATGGTTGAGACCTAAGTATTGATCAAAAATCCAATTATACTGTAAAATAAACAGGTACAGCCTTTTCACTGAAATTGTAGTTTTTTTAATGTAGTGTAGGACCTACAAACACTTGTCTTTTTCTTTTACCTGCGACCCCCGTGTAAGGCTTTGCGACCTGAAAATTACTGCCCTACGCAGTGGTGTAGCGAATGTAATTGGCGTTTGGGGCACGACACTTTATTGGCACGCCCTCTCCCCTTCAGAAACACATATACAGTGGTGCCCCGTATAATGTACTTAATCCGTTCCAGGTGCATGTCAGTTAAGTGAAAAGTTTGTTATACGAAATGCATTTTCCCATGTTAAAACATATAATTCGTTCCGCAGCATAAAATAATCGTACTGTACCATAAAAAAAAAACATGAAAATGGAGCAGTCACCAATTATACTGGATAGTCAGATGTTGTGAGGTGGAGGTGGAGGAACACTTTCTTCACACATTCATACAGATACAAACTTTTTACACATTGCAGTAGGTCTCTTTTTATTGATTTTTAATCGGAGTCAGATCCAGGGCATGCAGGGTCAACTCCTCTTGTTACATCCCTTGTTTTTTGGCAGCTGGCTTCTTGAAAAACATGGCCAAGGTGGTCTGTTTCTCTCTCTTCTTGAACATCTGTAGGAAATGATGGGCAAAAGTATCGTTGTTAGAGATAATTGATCCTGCTGGCCTCAGCTGTGTTTGGATAATGAGTGTTGGTAAATTCTCGAACCTCTCCCCATTTGACAAGGAAGTTTTTGTCAACTTTCACTCCTTCTAATGATTTCTTGCTCTCTTTCAATTGAAATCACCTTTCTGTTTTTTTAGAAGCCATGATTTGCACAACACTTGAATAAATGTAAATACCCTGCACTGAGGTGATGTACAGTCGGGTAAACTTGCCTAATTCATACTTTACTTATATCTCGACTCATGTAATAGCTATTAGTGTCTTTAGTGGCAAAAAAAGTAAATAACAATCTTTTATATTACCATCTGACAGACAACACACTGTTACACTGCTCCCGGCAAAAATATTGAAAAGGTAAGTTTTTTCAGCTTTTTCTGTAATATTTTTGCACATTTCGTAAGAACTTTCTTCAAATTGGATCGTGTATAAGTATTTTAACTATCTGTGATGTATTAATGCGTATTTTTATGATTTCATCTGATGTGATGATATATGCGTATTTGTTGCCAAATTTTTTATCGGCAAATGTAAAGTCTGTTCTACTCTTGCGCCTATTTTGTATTCGAGGCAAGTTCTTAAAATGTACTGGTATGATTCAGGAAAACCATTTTAGATGAATGTCACAATAAGCTATTACTGATTCGTAAACTTATTTTTTTTTTTTACTAAGTTTCTGTTTTGAAAAATAACCGCAAAAGTTCAAAACAAATTAAAACTTAATTGTCTTTAATTTTAGAACAATATGTCAAAAAAGAAAATATAATTCTTGGATTAATGAAAATGTGAAAGAAGTGATTAAAAAATATAATGACGGGACTTTACAATTTAACGAAGTTTGTCGTGCATATAACCGAAACCAACATTTAGATGACATTTACAAGGATTGAATACACATCAAAGAATAGACTAGATAGGTTATTTTTCAAATCACTAAAACTGAATTTTAGTGCTGCTTGCGCATCGTGGATGCGAAACCATCCTGGTTCCTTAACCTTGTCCATGCGACGCATTTTTTGAATTTTTGGATAATTTTTTAAATCGAGATATTTCGCTTCAAAATCGCGCTATATTTAATCTGTTTTTTGTGTTTGATTAAAAACATATTGCAGTTTACGATTGTTTAATTTTTAGTTTAATACAAATTTAAAATAATATTAAAATTTCGACGTTCACGAACAATAGAAAAAAAAATTAATTTACAGAGATTCGCTGAACTTTGTACATCTGTTCGTTAGACACATCTGTCTTCTTTTAAACAAAACAAACCGCAGCTCTCTAGCTAAAGCGGGGGAGAAGTTATTGCCATTATTTACACTACGTCTCTAATTACCCTGCGGGGAGAGGGGAGTGGGGAGTGGCTCGGGTATTTGTAGGTCAAAGATTATCAACATACTTTTATAAGAGTGAATATTTGACACTTTTTACATATTTTTTCAACGTTTTATATAATAATAACCTATAATAAATGATTAGTTAATTTTTTCCTGCGATTACGCAATATCCGGAAGTAATGAGTTTCCCGGAAAATTTTTCAGCTGGAAGATTTTGATAAAATATCTTCTTGTCTAAATAGAGTCAAATAACATGAAAACTAGAAAAATTACGCTTTAAAATAATGAATATAGCTATTTTTTAACGTTTGTTTACATAATAACTTTAATCACGTGGATTGATTCTTCGCGGGAAAATCCAGACTACATGTTCTGAAAAAAGCTCTCATTCGTTAAAGTTAAATCAGTTATAATATAAATGANTTGAGCATGGGCCTTCATCTATTAAAAGTTAAAATAGATAAAATTAACAGTGACATCTGGCTGCATCATATGTTGTCACCACTTGTGCTCCAGATGTGTAAGGTAACACACCTCCTTTGTAACCGCTCCCTGCATCTTGTAAAAATGTCTGAACCTGCAACTCTGTTGTTCTACTGTTTTTGGTATGTACTTAATTTAAACTGACTGTATAATATTAGTTCATAACTGTTAACCAATATTTCGGCTAACTTATAACTATTTTTGTATCAGCACCCTGTTCATCATGTTACCATGCAACGTTAGGAAGAAACATTACTCTTGTCCACATTGATATGCTTACTGCTTTGTACAGTCGTGTCGACGGTTTCATCTTTATATTGTATAGCTTTAGGCATATTTTTTTAGTTTAATTTTAAATTTCATATTTTTTTCACCTTGTATAATTTTAAGTATACTTAGACCTGTCGCTATTACCAACTGATGAGGGACTATTTTCCATTGGAAAATAGTTCGAAATGCATTTTGGATTTTTACGGTTTTTATACTTTGTAATTATCTTATTGTACAACCCTATCTGTTTTATTAAATTTTTTTACTTTGATTTTTGAGCGTTTGTGCCCTTTGTCATTGATGTGATAAGCCCTTCCTATTATCTACCTTATGGTTATAGATATTTTAATTAATTTAATTATACTAAGGGCTAAAAGCAATTTCTGCAATGTCGGAGGAAAGTAGTTCGGCTGCTCATCCACTATTGGTCCAGATTCTATCAATCTTGTCGCGAAACGAGTCGGCGACGACGTTTTAGGAGCTCCTTTAACATATGTTGCTACAATTTTTTCGCTACGTTATAGGAATTGTCGTTATAGGAACGCACATTATAGGGGGGTTGACTGTATTAAACTTTAGAGCTTCTAAGGATCGAATACACTCTGTCGTTGAGTCAACAATATTTAAAATCTGTGCCACATTTTCATAATTTAATGTTGGCAAACTCAATATCTTCTTAATTAACGAAGCTACCTATTCTCTTTTCTGAGAATATTGTTGGGAAGGTAGTTCCCAAGCAATTTCAAAATTTTGATCACAAATGGATAGGGATTGTATGATTTTTAAAGCTTCTCCTTTTAATGAACACTTTAAATACTGTAGTTTTTGAGCACCTGACAATTTTCCATTGTTTGTAATAGCTGCTTGGAACAGGTCACTAAATGGCAGCCATTCCTCAAAACTACCACTAAATGAGGGCAATGTCAATTTAGGTAATTTTAAATCTGACATTCCACTAGCTTTATCAACGTTGGATATACTATTACTATTTTCCAATTTTAGATTTGTTCTATCTATCACTAAAATGAACTCATGAATCGAATCTTGTGCTATTTGACTTTCGTCAATATATTGTTCTATTTTGTCTTCCTTACAAATATCAAACAATCTATCAAAGACTTCCTTTAATTCATTAGCAATTGCACCCAATTTCGAATGGTAAAGATCAAGTTGCACACTATCTGAGTCAGAATTTTTTCTCTTAGTCTAGTAAGATTACTCTTGACAACTCTCTTTTTTATCAACAATGTTTTTAGATCCATTTTTAATAAACTAGAAATATCGTACCTGAACAACTAAAGCAAAAGATCCTTTAACTAAAGCAATAGTCCANGTCCAAAAGTTTCGAATATTCTTCTTAATTTTGATTCTGATGTAGCATAATTCTGCAAGAATGCAAGTTTAGTATATGTAAACGCATCATTTCCCTTTTAAAATCTTAATTCACATAAAATTAAATTAGGAATTCATCTATATTCAATACCATATTATAAGTCTCTCAACGCCAATAAAATTCTAAAAACACTTACTTTTTTTATGGGTCCAAAAGTTTCGAATATTCTTCTTAATTTTGATTCTGATGTAGCATAATTCTGCAAGAATGCAAGTTTAGTATATGTAAACGCATCATTTCCCTTTTAAAATCTTAATTCACATAAAATTAAATTAGGAATTCATCTATATTCAATACCATATTATAAATTAATATTAAAATGTAATTGTTAAAAACATTCAATATTATCTAAGAAACTGAAGACAATAAAAGCTGAAGTTGCCAAGAAAAAGTCTTCTAATAAACAAATTCAGAAATTTGAATAAAACCAGCCATGACAGTCACTATCATGACTGACAAAGAAAACAAAAAGTCTGAAGGTGTCATCTTCTTTGAGGAAAGGTCATGAGTATTACTTAAGATGTTCGGGGTGGGTGGTAGTGATGATAATGTGCGCTGCTTCAAAGTCCAATGTGATGTTTGTATCTGTTGCATATGTTGAGAGAGCTGTAGTCGTTCTGTTGTGTTGTACGTCAGCCTTATGTTCTTTAATTCTAATCCCTAATGATTGTCTGGTTGAGCTAATGTTAATCACTTCTCTGTCGAACCTGTGGTCTGTTAGCGGTATGGTGTAAATTCCAGGTAATTTGACCAGGTTCGGTGGGTCTTTTCCGTTACGTAGTAATTGGAAAATGGTTTGGCATCTCCTGTATGTTATATAGACCTGATGTTTCCTTGCTATCTCGTTATACATCGATTTTAACTGTGGATTGAATGTGATGGGGATCCTTTCTATATTTTCTTCTTCAATTTGTATTTGTCTTTGTGTCCGGTTGTCTGCCTCCTGGCTACTTCTATACCGTTTATACAATCCCTGTACGATGTTGGTGTAGCCATGGGCCACAGCTATCTCCTGTATGTGCCTCATTTCTTGAGATAGCGCTTGGGGAGAGGAGGAGTGTGTAAAAGCCCTCTTGATTAAAGCCCTAAAGGCTGCTAACTTGTACTGAAAAAGATTACATGATCCCATCGGAATATACGTTGAGGTGTTACTGGTTTTTCTGTATACCGCCGTGTGTATTTTCTGACCTTCAAAGGAGATGTCGATATCCAAAAAGTGGACATTTGTGTAGCTATGCTGCTCTATTTCAATCACCAGACTGTACTGATTGTTGTTCACCGTATCCACAAACTGTTTCAGATTCGGTTCTGACTTCCACAGGATGATGATGTCATCTATGTGACATTTATAGAGTAGCATATTGGGTATGAAGCGAGGAAGAATGTTGTTTTTTAATTGCCTGACTACCATCTCGCACAGATCTCCAGAAACTGGACTTCCCATTGGAACACCTTTATGTTATTTGTACGCAACCCCATTGAATTGGAATACTGAGTTGTAACATATTAAGTGGGAAAGCTCCAGAATTTCTCGGTGCATTGTTGTATCATTAACTTTAGAAAAGAGGAAGTCCCTGATTGCGCAGAAACATGGAGGTAGTTCGATAGAAGGATATGATGATCTGAAATCTAATACTGTAGCGCACACTGGTGAGGTGACTTCTTTAAGTTGTGATAACTGTTAATATTCGAATCATTTTGTTCTAATTCTTATAAAAAAATTCACTTAACTTTACTGAAACTTAGATTTATTTTTTTTTTTAATTTTTAAGATAGACTAAAACATAGCAAACTAAATTAAATAGTGTTAAAGACTACATCAGACAAGGAAATTCTAAATAATAAAGCATGAAGTTAATTGAATGTTCACTGAGATTAAATGTAAAAATGAATTTTTAAGAATTTATCAAACTTACTTTTAAGCAACATTGTGTGGTTGAAGGAATTGGTAAAGAAAGCAATGAAAACACTTCATAGCTATTTGATGTTTTACTACAATTTAAACAGATCAATTGTGATTGAAGTAATCCGTCAAATAAATTTGAAACAATTGATTTGTACATGTTGATATGGCTTGCCCAAAACCTTTCCTGCGCTTCAAATTCACGTAAATGATCTAAATTCAATATTTGGTTTGGAGAAACATTCTGCAATAAAATGTAAAAATTAAATCATATGAATTTTTAATTGTAATTTATCTAATGAAATATATTTACCTTATTAAGATCATCATGAAGCTTTTCTAATAATGCGATAAGAAATTCATGCGAATCTTCTTGTTCATAACCAACAAACACTGACATATGCTTACTGACAGTATTTTTGGAAAAAGTTTTAATTATTTTTTATTACAAGAAATTATTTAGTTTTAATCGGTTTTAAAATAATAAAAATATAGCGAGGAACCTTTACTTTAAAGTATTTTACTCATGTATGATATCTGACCTGGTGGAGAATTAGTACTCAAAATTCCACCAGCAAGTGTTGTTTGCCGACAAGATTGCCAACAAACAGGAAGGGGTTCAATCTCTCACGTATGAGGGCTGTGGCGAAGGAGGCAAATGAAGTCAAGTGTTTTACAATTTAAAACCGTTTATTTTGGAAACATTCATAGCTTACATCAGGTTTATAGATCTACTCCCTCGGTCTTTCGTCTGTAGAGGCCCCAGGGTGTGTGAGTCTAAGTCCTTGGGTGATGTTGACAGGATGAGATTTGCTGCGGCGTTCGAGGTCAATTAAATCATATGAATTTTTAATTGTAATTTATCTAATGAAATATATTTATCTTATTAAGATCATCATGAAGCTTTTCTAATAATGCTGTTGTATATCGACGGACCAGAAAATGTTGTATTCAAAATTGATGTTGTGATGGTGGTGGTATGAAATGTTCCCGTTTACACGGTAAAAGAAAAAACACAGTACGCTTCCTGTCTAACAATAACAACACAATTACACTTTAATGTCTCTAATAAGTGAGTGACTCTCTGGCACTCCACAATCGAGCAACACTCAGGCACCCGACAATTATTGGTAATTACAATACTGGTTCTTGACCAGCCACACAGCTACCCACTCTGGTTAGCTCCCCGGTCAGTACTGCGGTCAGCACTCCTCTCAGTACTGCCTCCACACACACTCTGACTCTACACACACCAAGGGCAGGGCACAAATTTTCCCTCTCTAGGCGGGACAATCTCCCCCACATTCTTGGGGATACTGTTACCTCACCCACCTGACATGTGTGACCAAGCTGTGGACTGTCCATCACCACTTGCTGACATCCACACACCTGACACGTCTCACACATGTTACACTGAACTTAACATCCTCCCGCCTTGAACCTTCCAAGGTTCAACAAGTTATATACATACAAAACAACAATTTTTTTTACAAAACACAACTTCAGTTCTCCATAGATAGAACACAAATTTTTGATACACTGCGTTTAAATACACTATTTTTTGTTTTTACACTTACAACTCTTACTTTACCGTCAGACCCTGGGAAAACTTCTGTAATTCTTCCCACTAACCACTTAAAGATAGGTATATTATCTTCCTTGATAATGACTAATGTCCCTATTTTAATATTATCTCTTTCCATCATCCACTTATTCCGTTGTTGTAAATTATTTAAATATGTATTAGTCCATTGCTTCCAAATGATTTGCGTCATTTTTGTTACACGTTGCCAATGTGAAAGTCTATTGTCTGATAGAGATTTGAGATCAATCTCTGGTAGTGTGTCAATTGGTCTACCTATAAGGAAATGAGCAGGTGTTAATACCTCAAGATCATCTGGCTCCACTGATAACGGGGAAATGGGGCAACTGTTTAAAATTTCCTTGATTTGATTGGTGATGGTGAGAAACTCTTCTAATGTCAAGATTGTACCACCTACAACTCTTTTTAAGTGATACTTGAATGATTTAACTCCTGCCTCCCACAATCCACTGAAGTTTGGGGCTCTAGGGGGGTTGAAGTTCCACTGAATGTTTTCTGATGACAAATAATTAGCCAATTTTTCATTTGGCTTATTTACCATATTGTACAATTGTTTCAATTCTGCCTGGGCTCCAATAAATGTTTTTGCATTGTCTGTAAATAATTTGGCACTTTTACCATGTCTCGAGAAAAATCTCTTTAATGTAGCAATAAATGAATCAGATGTGAGATCAGATACTGTTTCCAGGTGTATGGCTCGAGTCACAAAGCAAATGAATATACACACATAAATTTTATTATATGTATTTATTCTTTGATTCTTATATTTTATGAGAAAATGTCCATAAAAGTCTATTCCTGTACAATTAAAAACATAATTTTGGTTCACTCTTTCATAAGGTAGATTACCTAAACCAGCGGTCGGGGAAGTTTTTTAATCATTACCCCAAAATATTTTTGTGTAAGTTGATATTACCCCATGGCGAAGAGCAAAAAAAAAACGAAATCGCCTCTTTTTAGCATCTTTCATATTATAGCCTCCCATGATAATTTTGAAAAGAAAACAATAACTAAAAATTTAATTTAAACATCATTTATTCAATTTATCAATGTAATACCTAGTAATACATAACGGTAATAATAGTAATATAAGTAATATACAGTTGAGGAAAAAAAAATCGCCTCACAGAAAATATAAGTAAATGATAATTTCTTGTTATTTTGTAATTCATATGATAATTTTCTTGTATTATTAGAGTCTAATAATACTTTAATAATATTTGTATCTTGACGGCATGGCACGGACTGAGCAGGTAGCCTGTGCTTTACTGCGCAAAGATATAACTCGAGCAAACTCTAGTGGTGGGAAGTGAGATGGCGTGGCCTGCATATGTCGCTAAATTGTTTAAGTTGAAAAAAATACTAACAGGTTTATAAAATAGCAAATTAAAAATACACTGGACGACAAAAAAAATAACGCACCATGAAGGACTTGTTGGATTTGAATAAAAATTGGTATGTTGCATCATCTTAGCTAGATATGTAAATGATTAGCTTTTGAGAGCAGGTTGTTGTGTTACATCGCCACCAGAGGGAAAAAAAATGCTTCCGCTATCTGGTATAAAGGTGCATGCTGTGACGACTTGTACATATGTTCTGCGCTTTTATTTGTGATTTTGACTTCATTGAGTGACAGACATGCCTCTACGACGCAATCGACAACCTTACACTCAGTTAAGTGAGTTTGAGAGAGGTCGCATTGTTGGATTGAGAGAAGGAGGATGGTCATACCGCCGGATTGGCCGCCATCTTAATCGTTCTGATAGAACTGTTAGGATGTGTTATGAGCAGTGGGTAAGTAGGGGTACACACGAACGGCAAACGG